GGACACCTGGCCCATGTTCCCACGAGATCCCTGGAGGGGCGTGACTCAGCAGACTCCCTTCCCAGTGCTATTTTGGGGCCACTGTCTTCACTGTTAAGTCTCACTAATTCCTGCTACATGACCGTGGGGGCAAGTTTTGTAATCTTTCTGAGTCTCAAATGCTCTATCTGTACAATGAGTGGTGAAACCTACCATGTGGGATTGCTGGAGGCCCAAAGTGGATGACGGCATGAGTTCGAGCACGCTGCCCTTGTAAGGAGTTCCGCAAGAGCACACATTACTGTTTATAAAGCTCTGTTATGGGCTTCCTACTCAGGTTTGGAAAGGTGTTCTGGCAAAGTGACTTTGGTCCCTTTAAAAGTAAGTACATGTGGCAGAAGCAGGCTTATGAGTTTGTTTTTTGTTTTGCTTTTATTTTGGGTTTTTTTTTTTTTTTTGGTTGTTTCTGAGACAAGGTCTTGCTCTGTAGTTCAGGCTGGTCTTAAACTCGCTATGTAGCCCAAGCTAGCCTTCCTGCCTCAGCCTCCTGGGTGTTGGGGTTATAGGTGTGTGCCATCACGCCTGGCTAGAAGTAGTTTTATAAGTGAAGAAGTTACTAGCTGACTTGAGGACATTGCTGAGGGATTTGAATGCAGGGTAGAAGTGAGTACTGTGCAAATTCTATCACGCTATGGCTCTCAAGGTCGAACAGCTAAGGAAAGGTTTCAGAGAGTCTCACTTTCATTCACCACCTGCCCATGAAAGACTAACAGGACCTTGGAGTGGGGAAGGTGCGGGTACAGCTAAGCCAAGGGACAGTGTAGTAGACAAAGTGGGAAATACTTGCTGTGCTTTGCCTGGGGCAGCACCTGGCTGGAGAAGTGTAGGCTCTTCAGGACAAACGGAAGCCACGCAATCGAGGGAAACCTGCCTGCCTGCCTACGATGACCGTTTGCAAAAGATGTCTGCGGGTTGTTGGCTCAGGGCAGAAGCCAGGAAGTCAAGGTGAGATTAAAAAAAAATGGGTGGATTACAAATGGGGTACTTAAAAAATTAATTGATATCAGAAAAAATGAAAGAAAAACTGAAGGCGAATGTGCAAGGAGCACAATTGTAAAAAAAACATGTCGGAGAGCCAGGCACGGTGGCACACGCCTCTAAGTCCAGCACTCAGGAGGTTGAAGAAGGAGGACTGCTGAATTTGAAGCCAGCCTGGGATACAGGGTAAGTTCAAAGCCAGCCAGAAGTACGTAGGGAGAACTTGTCTCAGAAAAACAAAAGAACAACGACAAATAAATAAAAACATGGCATATTTCTTTAAATCATACTCAGTAGTTTTTGAACAACTAGGCACATATGACATGACCGGTTGTTTTTGTTGTCGTTTGTCTTAAGGATGGAAGCCAGGGCCTTATGCATGTTGTTATGGTTTGTGTCTAGATGTCCCCCCAAGAGCCTCGTGGGATCATAGGTGGGGCTTTTTCAGAGGTGGCTGGATCTAGAGAATTAATTCATGGTGCCATGCTAGGATCAAGGGCACTAGGATTAAGGGTGTGAGTGCTACCTACCCTGACTAAGTGCTACCTGCCTGGATAAGATAAAAGGGGCAGAAAGAACGGTGGTTGTCCCTGTTACTTTTGCTGTTTTCTGCCGCCATGAACGGCTTCTCCTCTCTGACGCCCCTCTGCCAAGCCATCCTGCCTTTGAGCCAGCTGATTATAGACTAAAACCTCTACAAGCTGTGAGCTAAATAAAACTTTCCCCCTTTAACTTTATTTATTTATTTTTGGGGGTACTGGGAATTGAACTCAGGACCTTGAGGTTGTCGGCAGGTGCTGTACTGCTAAGCTATATCCCCAGCCCCTCCCCCTTTAACTTTAGGTGTTGGATATTTTGTTACAGCAATGAGAAAAGTTAAGACCTGTGTTAAACACCACTCTACCTCTGACCTACACCCCTAGCTTGCAGCTGTTATTTTTTATTTGTTCACAGTACAGGGATTGAACCCAGGGCCTTTGCATTGAGCTACATGCATCCCCAGCCCTTATTTATTTATTTATTTATTTTGTTGTTTTTTTTTTTTTGTTCTGTGAGACAGGGTCTCACTATGCAGTTCAGGTTGGCCTTGAACTCACTATGTAGCCCCGGCTGTTCTTGAACTCATGGTGATCCTCCTGCCTCATCCTCCTAAGTGCTGGGATTATAAGCATGTGCTACCATATCTGGCTCTGAGATAAGATCTCTCTAAATTGCTAAATTGTCCAGGTTGGGCTCAAACTTGTGATCCTCCTGTCTCAGTTTCCCAAAGTGCAGAGATACAGTTTTGTGCCATCAGATGGGGCCTTGTGGCTGTTTTTTAAACAAAAATTTTTGTCTTCTGTCATGGAGGTGTTTTTTGGCTCCAATGACGTTTCTCAATGAAAATGACAAGTTGGATAACAACATGTAATGGTTGTTTTTTCTTTTTTTTGGTCTTTTTGAGACAGGGTCTCACTATGCAGTTCAGGCTGGTCTTGAACTTACTTTGTAGCACAGGCTGGGCTTGAATTCACAACAATCCTCCTGCCTCAGCCTCCCAAGTGCTGAGATTACAGGCGTGTGCCGCCATGCTTGGCAACATGTCATGTATTAACTATTGTTATTCTCCTATTATTTTGTATGAAATTTTGTTCTATCTTTTCTCCATAAAAGAAAAAGAAAAAGAAAATGACAAGTTGGAATGTGCTGCATGTAAGTTTGATATTAGCTTGAAATTCAGTTCTGTTGGCTTTGGCTATTGGATCTCTGGGGCAAGTTATTTAATTTGTTTGGGACCCAGGTTTTAATCTGTAGAGTGAGAATAATGCTAATACCCACCTCATAGGATCTGACGCATAGTTAGCACTTACTAAGTGGGAGCTATTTTTTATTAACTGTTATTGGTTCCTTTGTTATTGCGTAGTTCCTTTAGAAATGGTTTGCCAATCAAAAGTATTTCAGGTCCTTCTTGTCTTGAACAAAGAATTGGAGGAGACAAAACAAAAATGGTGCCAAAAGTTTATTCCAAAAGTGAGGGGTGAATGGGTACAGGAGACACCAACTTTCCAGGTGAACATGGGCTGAACAAGAAAAAACAAAGATAAAAGCAAAAATGAAAGTACACGCTGCATCTGGGAAACACAGTATGGTTTATCATGGGAAGTCATGATAGCAGGCTCTAAGGCCGGGGAAATAGCTCAATGGCATAAGCACCTGCCTGGCAAGCGCAAGGCCCTGAATTTGATCCCCGGTACCACAAAAAATAAAGTAAAAAAACAAAAGGGCGTGATAACAGGGTCCCTGTGGCATCTCTCTTTTATGCCATCCACATCTTGTGGAAACCCGCGAGAAGTTCCACATTCGGAATCCTGGGAATTATTGGTGCTGTGCTGGGATCTTGTAATTGACAGATCCTGTTCATTTCCTCAGCCAGTTTAGCTCTTACATCACTTTCACATTTAGATTACAGTGGTAACTTTTTCCTGGACTCCCCTCCCCCCATTCATCCAACAGCTTGCCACAATTAACACTCCAAAATTTGCTTCCATCACATCAGCACCCCACTAAGAACCTTCTGCCCCTCAGTTGGAGACCAAACCTCTGTTTGTAGGTCAAAGGTCAATAGATCAAAGGTCAACAGATCATAGGTCAGGACTTCAACTACTACCTCACAAGAAATGGAGAACCCCTGGCAGGTTTTGGTGGGAGGAGTTGTGAAATATAACTTGTGTTTTTAAAGGATCCTCTGTCTGCTGACTTAAAAATAGACTGCAGGGGGGTGGGGTAAAGGAGGAAGACCAGGTAGGAGGAAAGGTGCATAATGGGAGTGAGAAAAGAAGGTGCCTGGGGCCTGGGTGGTGGCCGGAAGTCGGGGGAGCTAGCTGGGTGTTAGTTGAGGCATTTGTTTTTGTTTGGTGCAGAAGAAGGAAGCAAGGCCTTGCACACAGACAAGTGCTCTACCATGGAGCAGCTCTAACACTGAGTTACATCCCCAGCCCTTTATATTTATTGTTACTATATTGGGCTACTGGAGATTGAACCCAGGGCCTTCACCTTGAGCTACATTCTCAGCCCTTTTAAAATTTCTTATTTTGAGACAGGATCTTGTTAAGTCATTAAATTTCCTGGGCTGGACTTAAACTTTTGAACCTCCTGCCTCAGCCTCTCAGGTTGTTGAGATGATAGGCATACATCACCATACCTATCTCCTGGGTTTGAACTTGTGATCTTCCTACTTCAGCCTCTCACAGAGCTAGGATTACAGGCATGCACCACCAAGCCCAGCTCAAAAGTAATTTTTAAAACTGTATCTCCATTGAGCACATCCATTCTTTTATCTTGTCACTATTCCCTAAACAATACAGCATAAAAACTATTTACATGGAGCTGGGTATGGTGGCGCATGCTTGTTATCCTAGCATTTGGGAGGCTGAGGCAGGAGGATTGTTGCGAGTTCAAATCTAGCCTGGGCTACAAAGTGAGCTCAAGGCCAGCCTGAACTGCATAGCGAGACCCTGTCTCAACAACAACTATTTATATAGGATTGGCAGTGTGCTAGATGTCATAAGTCATCTAGATATGACTTGAAGTATACAGGACAGGGTTTGGAAATATAGCTCAGTGGTAAAGCACTTGCTTAACATGTAGGAAGCCCTAAGTTCTATTTCTAGCACTGAAAAAGAAAAAAAAAAAAAAAAAGGAAACAGCATATGGATTATATAGGAGAATGTGCGTAGTTTATATGCAAACATTATGCCTTTTTTAGTACACGTTTGTGGTATATCATGAATACATTCATTCTAGGGACTTGGTGCATATATATGACACATCTTACTTCTTTTTACATCCCCTTTCCCTCCTTCGCTCTCCCTCCATCTCTTAGGCCCTTTCCTATTTGCCAGAGACTTATATAAGAGACCCAAACTGGCAAGGACTTTGGTTTCTGGGTGGTCCGGGACCATGTCTCTGAGGACACAAGAGATGACTGTGCTTTCATTGTACAGCCAGCAGGGTCTGCTGAGGGGGCTGACAGAGGTCCAGTAGCAAGAGAAGAGAGAAGGGTGACCCCAAGACCTTAGTCAAAGCCACTGGAAAGGTACAGTTGCCATATCCTGACAAAAAGGAAATTATGAGAAATACCTGTTTTGGAGAAAAGGATCATGAGTTGTATTTTGGTAATTGGAGATTTATATATATATTGGCTATCTAATCTAATCATCCTAGTAAGACCAAATTTCTAAAACAAAAGACCAAATGTCATGTGTGTGTGTGTGTGTACAGTCCTAGGCATGGAACCCAGGGCCATCACATAGACCCACACCCCCAGGACCTTTGTGGGTTTTTTTTGTGTTTTTTGTTTGCTTTGGATTATTTTTTTTTTTTTGAGATAGGGTCTTACTATGTAGCCCATGCTGGCCTCAAACTCGTGATAATCCTCCTGTCTCAGCTTCCTGAGTGCCGGGATTACAGGCATGCATACCATGCCCGGCCTCCCAGGCCCATTTTCAATTTTTTTTTTTTTTAATTTTGAGACAAGTTCACTGAGTCACTAAATTGCCCAGCCTAGGCTCAAATTTGCAATCCTCCTGCCTCAGCCTGCCAGTGGGCTGGGGTTGCAGGTTGGTTCTACCTTGCCTGGTTCAAATTTCTAGTTTTGAAGAGAAGTTACTGGGGGTCACAGCGAGGGAAAATTTCTTCATGGGTCAGCGTTCAGGAAGAGGAAGTCCCCTCACCTGCGGCAATGGTTCCGCCCCGACGTTCATGCCTGTGGGGCTTCTCCACACGGGATTTCAGGTTTGGTCCCTGCGACTAACAGAACAGGAAAGTAGTGTTATGTCACTTCAAGAAGCTAGGTCACAAAAGGCAAGTGGCTTTAATCTTGGTTTTTTTCTCCGTCATAGGTAACTTATTCCAGGGAAAACCAGCCCCATGCACAAAACTTCATGGTGAAAGCTAAGGTCTCCCCTCAACAGCCACGGAGGTGAGTTAGAAATGGATCTTCCAGCCCCAGTCAAGCATCAGATGCCTGCAGCCCCACTGTCACCCATGAGGCTCAGAGCCAGAACCACCTGCTAAAGCCCTTCCTAGGTATTGCTCTGACCCCCCAACTCAACGGCAAAATAAACGTCTGAGCCACTCCATCTCAGGGGAAAGGCACTGCGCAGCGACAGATAACTCACAAGCCTCTTAAAGTCAAGGGAAAAGGGCGAGGCAAGAAACTTCGGAGACTTTGGCCAAGAGAGCAGAACTTCATGCCACTGTGGGAGTTCTGCTGGGGCAGCAGCCCTCCTCTCTGCCCCCGCGACGCCAGCAGAAGGAGGAGAGGGAGAGACCTGGACTGGGCAGCGGGGGGTCTACACTGCAGCCCTGGGTGGATTCATCGAAGAAGGCTTTCTGCAGGCAAAGAGCAACTTAATAGCCAGAAGCTGTTGCAGGGACTCTGGAGAGAGGCTGAGCTGAAGCTTCTACTACCACAGAAGCCAGAGCCTGGGGCTGGAGGTAGATCTCCGAGAGTGGTAGAACGCTCGCCTAGCACGCAAGTGGCCCTGGATTTGTTTCCTGTTCACAAAGAAACAGGAGGAGCCAAACCTGGGCGCAAGTCACACTCATTGAAGCAGCAACAACCAGAAACCGTAAGAGGCTACTGTGGGAGATTAAGTAAAAATAAATGCTAAGGCTCCAAACTGGAGAAGTTAGACTCTGGAAAGGAAGGGAGAAGTATCGCAGAGCCAGCCCATGGCCCTGCCGCTCAGTATCAGACACAGCCAGTCACCATGGCACAGACCCGCAATTCCAATACTTGGGAGGCTGAGGCAGCAGGATCACAAGTTGGAATCCAGACTGAGGAAATTAGTGAGATCTACTCTCAGAATAAAATAAGAGCTGGGCATTGCGGCACACGTCTGTAATCCCAACACTTAGGAGGCCAACGTAAGAATATTGCCATGAGTTTGAGGCCAACCTGGGCTACCCAGGCTAGCCTGAATTACAGAGCAAGACCCTGTCTCTTAAATAAATAAATAAATAAATAAATAGATAAATAGATTAAGGCCTGGTTAGCTCATAGAGAGTAAGGAGGTAGATCTTTCTCGAAAGGGGGAGGGGATCAAGAGGGAGAGGGGGAGGGAAGGGAGGGACAGGGGATGAAAAGGAATTAAAATGTGTCACATACAGATACCAACTCCCCACATGGAATGTGCACATTATGTACTACACATATGTACTAATAAAAATTAAAACAAGAAGGGCCAGGCGTGGTGGTGCACACCTGTAATCCCAGCACTTGGGAGGCTGAGGCAGGAGGATCACTGCAAGTCAAGGCCAGCCTGGGCTACAAAGTGAGCTTAAGGCCAGCCTGAACCGCACAGCAAGACCCTGTCTCAAAAAGACACACACACAAAAAAGAAGAGCTGGAGATGTAGCTCCATTTAAAGGGCTTTTGGGGCTGGGGATTTAGCTCAGCGGCAAAAGCGCCTGCCTGGCATGCGCAAGGTCGTGAGTTCGGTTCCTGGTACCGGAGAAAAACAAAAAAACAAAAAAACAAACAAAAAAAAAAAAATAAAGGGCTTTCCTGGCACGTTTGAGCCCCTGGATTTGATCCCCAGCATCACACAGAAAACAAACAAAAACTGCAATCCTAAAGAAAAGTGATGGGGGAATATGGGCCAAGCAAATAGAAAACAAGACAGGTATTTTTAATGGACCAGATTGGGCTTTTTTTTTTTTTTTTTTTTTTTTGGTTTTTTTCTCCGGTACCGGGAACCGAACTCATGACCTTGCGCTTGCCAGGCAGGCGCTTTGCCGCTGAGCTAAATCCCCAGCCCCTGGGCTTTTTTTTTTTGAGATAGGGTCTCGCTATGCAGTTCAGACTCGTCTTGGACTCACTTTGTAGCGCAGGCTGGTCTCAAACTTGCAACAATCCTCCTGTCTCAGCCTCCTGAGTGCTGGATTTACAGGTATGCACCACCGTGCCTAGCCAGGACTGGGCTTTTAATACAAAGAGTCATACTAAAGCTAAGGGATCCTTCCAAGATCTCAGGAAGGAAGGAGAAAGGGAAATTTAACAGAAACTGCCTAAAAACCTTGAACGGAAAAGAAATAAAACCACATCATATTCTGGATCCCTGGAGCAGAGTAAAGGGTGTACTACTGTTCCATTTTTTTGAGGGAAGTCCTTAGAGAACAGCACAGAAATCCGTTTCTGTTTGGTCCTGAGCAAATTGCTTGAACTTTCTAAATCTCCATTTGCAAAGGAAACTCACTGTTGGTCAGTTTTTCATAGCTATAATAAATACCTGAGGCAGAGGGCGTGTTATCTATAATAGAGCGTTATTTAGCTCATTGCTGTCGGGGCTGAGAGGCTGAGATCAGATAGCGCCATTTGTTTCTTTGGTTGGCTGGTTTTTTGAGACAGGGTTTCACTCTGTAGTGCAGGCTAGCCTTCCACTCACTGTGTGGCTCAGGCTGGCCTCAGATTTGTGCAACCCTCCCAGTGCGTGTGCCAGCGCTGTGGCCAGCTGTACCCATTCGGTCTCTGGCTGTTACCGGGTCCAGACAGAAGTCAGAGAGAGGGAGGCGCTAGTAAGGGCCTCCCTCTAGGCCCCGCCTCTTAAAGGTCCTAGCACCTGTTAACATTGCCACACGGAGGACCGAGCTCCCTACACATAATCTCTTGAAGACAAACCCAAAGGACACCCAACAATCTCAGTAACCTCTCCCCTATCCCTTCCAGGTGAGAAGCTGAGACGGAGAAGGGCCATTGCCGCAGACAGCCTGAAGCTTGTATCACCTCCGTTTCGGGATGCGCCTTGCTGTGGGAAAGCTCTGTTCGAGAATTCTGGCTGGGCAAGCTCGGTCCCCTGCTCGGCCTGGGCATGGACAAAACTATGTCTGGTCTTGCTTACTGTACAGGAGCTAGCTGCAGTGCTCTGTGCTGTTGACAGATGTCTTTGTCCATTTCTTGCTTTGTTTTTGTTTGTTTTTCCATACTGGGGATTGAACCCAGGGCCTCTGCACTGAGCTATATTCCCAATCTTCTAATTTTTGATTTTGACGTAAGGTTTTGCTAGGTTACTAAATTACTCAGGCTGGGCTTGACATTGAGATCCTCCTGCCTCAGCCTCCCAGGGTGCTGGGGTTGCAGGCAGGTACCACGGCTACCACCCCCACCTTGGCGAAGGCCTTTGTGCTGCATCATAGCACGGCAGAAGTCATCCCCTGGTAAGACAGAGCAAGTGTGCCAGCTCAAGCACCCCAGGCCCCTTCCTATACAGCCACCCATGCCAGTGTCCTAATGACCCCGTCTCCCCCCAAGCACCTCCCCAAAGTCCCTTCTTCCAAGGACCAGCAGCAGATGACTTTGGGATCGAATTCCCAACACATGAATTCCAGGGGACACACCTGAGCCATCCTGCCCAGGAAGAGCCTCACAGCCAAAAATTTAAAGTAGGACAGGGGCCGGGGATGCAGCTCAGTGGCACAAGCACCTGCCTGGCAAGTGTGAGGTTGTGAGTTCGATTCCCGGTACCAAAAATAAATAAATAAATAAAATAAAGTAGGACAGCACCTGGGTCTGACCCAGTCCCCTCAGGAAACAAAGGCCCTGCAGCCCAGCAAGAGGGGTGAGCTGCTAAAGCTCCCCATGGATTTTTGTGCCATGGCAGCTGCTTAGGGCAAACCTGAGGACCTCTGGACCCTTGGGGCAACTTGCCTTATTGGTATGCCTGAGGTGACTATTGCCACACCTGGACTGTCACAGGGACTGAGGCTGTGGGAGCCACTGACATAGCCAACATTCTAACTCCACCAGTCCTTATGGTTCCTGCTGGGGAATCTAATAGGATGCCCAGAGCCATGTGGGAGACCAGCATGCTTCGAACTGTGGAAAAGAAATTGATTTGGTTTTGCTGGATGTGGTGGTGCATGCCTGCAACCCCATCACTTCGGAAGCTGAGGCAGATGATCACCACAGGTTTGAGGTATCTACTTTCTTTTTCTTTTTTTGAAGTGTCTGCTTTGGGTTTGAGGACTACCTGGGCTACACAGTGAATTCAAGGCCATTCTGGAAAATATAGTGACTCCCTATATTTTCAAACAAACGCCAGGTGCAGAGGTGCACGCCTGTAATCCAGTACTTAGGAGGCTGAGGCAGGAGGATCACTGCAAGTTCAAAGTCAGCCTGGGCTACCTATTGAGTTCAAGACGAGTCTGAACTACACAGGGAGTCCATGTCTCCAAAAAAACAAACAACAAAAAATATACAAACAAATAAATAAATAAATTGGATTGTGTCACAACCAGATTATTTTTGTTTTGGACTTTTTTTAGGGGGGTACTGGGAATTGAATTCAGGACCTTGCACTTGGCAGACAGGCACTTGTGCCGCTGAGCTATATCCCCAGCCCAAAAACTAGATTTTTTTTTTGTCTTTTTGAGACGGGTCTCTCTATGCAGTTCAGGCTGGCCTTGAGCTCACTTTGTCGCCCAGGCTGGTCTCAAACTTGCAATAATCCTCCTGCCTCAGCCTCTCAAGTGCTGGGATTATAGGTGTGCGCCACCACACCTGGCTATTTGTGTTTCTTTAAAGAAACAGAATAAAACAGAAATAATACCTGAGGATAAATATAGTCTCAGGAAGCAGAGGTGTAATTTTATATCTATAGTCACCAGCTAAGTGCTTCCTCCTTTCTTCTGACCCCTGATTCTTGGTGGTGTTATTTTAAACTCCCTTATTTTTTGGGGGGGAGCGCTGGGAATTGAACTCAGGACCTCATGCTTACCAGGCATGCCCTGTGTCACTGAGCTAAACCCCTGGCCACTCTCATCCCCTTTAAGGGCAGTCCAATTCACTCTCTAAATGTGTGTGAGATAGTGACCATTCTGGACACACACATGACAACTGTAAGGGACTTTTGCCTTTGAGGGACCCTCAATCCAGTGAAAATTACCTTAATCCAGTGAAAAGGGCCTCAGACCCAGAGTAGATACAATAAGGAAGAGGGTAGATGGTGTGAAAATGCTTAGCAAGAAAACAATCCATGGGCATTGGAATGGAGGAACTTGTACTTTCTGTTTATATACTCTGTGCTAATTGAATTTGTTGCAAATTATATATATATATGTATAACTTTTGCAATTTTATTATTATTGTTATTGTGTGCTGGGGGTTGAACTCAAGGCCTTCACACTGAGCTACATCCCCAGTCGTTTTTTAAAATTTCGAGGGGCCGGGCGTGGTGGTGCGTGCCTATAATCCCAGCACGTGGGAGGCTGAGGCAGGAGGATCGTTGCAAGTACGAGACCAGCCTGGACTACAAAGTGAGCTCAAGGCCAGCCTGAACTGCATGGGGAGACCCTGTCTCAAAAAGACAAAAAAACAAAAAATAAAAATAAAATTTTGAGACAGGGTCTTGCTAAGCTGCCCTGCTGGGCTCAGACTTTTGATCCTCCTGCCTCAGCCTCCCAGAGTGCTGTGATTACAGACATGCCTCATCATGCCTGGCTAACTTTTGCAATTTTAGAAGCTCAGTAAAAATATAAAAATATGTGAATGAGTGAATGAATGAATGAAATATAACGTGAAAGTGGTGACCTGGGAGAAGGAAAAGAAAGCAACATTTTGGACCAGTGATTCCAGCCACTGGCTCTTTTGGCCCCTTCCACATAGCCAGCAGGGTCTCTCGATCCCCATCTTTTGTTTTTTTTTTTTTTTTTTTGGTTTTTCTCCGGTACCGGGAACCGAACTCACGACCTTGCGCTTT